ACGTACGACGTACGACGTACGTACGTACGTACGTAGTACGTAGTAGAGAGAGAGAGAGAGAGAGAGAGAGAGAAGAGAGGAGAGNAAGAGAGAGAGAGAGAGAGAGAGAATCTATTTGTTAGAAAGAAAATTTGGTAAACGTTGGTCCTTCATTTTAGATTTATACCTTTAAGAGCTCAAAATCAATTTTTCCTTTTTAAATTTTTTTCATATAGTGATAATGAGGACATTTACAAAGTTTTGGGTGAAATAAATTTCCCTAAAGCCCAGAACTAACACCAACATTTCTTTCTTAAAATGGACCACTTGTATTTGCTGCATTTACTCTTTCGTAAAACCATCATTTTGGGATCTTTTTTTCAGGTGCTTTATAATTGGGATGAATATGTGTCATCTATAAACTTTGGGGGCAAAAAATGTCCCCCTAGAACTAGCATTTTTTTTTTGTGTCGTAAGATAATGTTGTAGAAATTAGTGTGTGTTTCGGCACGGTTTGTATAAGGTGTCAAACTTAAACAATCAAAGTAAGGTCACCTCTAAATCTTATTAAAACATGTAATTCCAGTGCTGGAAATCTTACGATGGCCTCAAAGTCTATTTCCACCACCAATTAAGAAAGTTAAAGCTCAAAAAATAGCTTTGATCGAACGATATATAAACTCTTAAAACTCTGAAAATGTATTGCCTAGATAATGCGTTGCAAGATGTACTACTTTTAGGACTTGAAATCCTTTTTTTTAATATGGATACATTTTGAGGTCGAGATGTTCAATTGTAGCGTTTTTCAACGTCATAACAACCTTTTCGAGTGGATCTTTTAGATGCACCTTAATGATTTCATGTCACCATGTCATTATATAATATTATGAAACCACTTCTAGAAAACCATGTTTGTGGCATTTGCATGACCCTAAAAAAATTACGCACATCCTCTCCTTATCCCAAAAATAAAATTCAATTTGCATCCTGGATATGGTCAAAATGAGTCCCCCTCCAACAATTAATCTAGATCATCCATTTGGTAAATTTCAAAATGTACGCCTTTACGAACTCAAAATCATTTTTTATTTTTTTTAATATTGTTCATCAAATGATAATGAAGCCATTTAAAAAGTTTGGAAATGGAAAAAATACTTCTAAGGCCTAGATCTAAGCATATTCCCAAAATGGACGGCCTATGGTAATTGAGCTAAAGAAACACATTCTGAGTTGTGTTTTCAAATTTTATTTTTTTGTTGTTCATTGGTATGAACATTTATCTTTGAGTATAAGGAGGTCATAATTATTCCTAGCCATTAGATTTCTAATTGGATTGAAATTTGTTTTTGAACTTTGAGTCTAGTCATGACACTCTTAGAACTAGCCGATTTGAAATCTAATGGGCAATAATGACTGTAACCTCCTTATACCAAAAGTAAATGGTCGCTTTGTATACTTTTCCATATATTTGATAGATATATAGATAAATAGATATAGGCCCAGTTTGGATGGATCATTTATTAACAAATAGCTTTGTTTACTACACCTTAAAATTAGGAGTGTCAAAGGAAATAGCTTGGTCTGCTTTGCAATTCCAGGGCATGGGCCCTTTGTGCCCCCTGCTTATCAAGATAAAGCAATACTATGTTTGCCCACACTTTAAACAAGATGTGGTTCACGTATTTGCTCCATTGTTTAATGGACTTGTTGGACCATCCATGAAGGGTGAAAAACATGACAATATTGTTATTAATATTTATTTAATATGCATATGGTATAATTTATATGTCTGTAAGACTAGATAATACATTAATAATGCTTTTTTTTTAAAAAAAAAAAGTTATTTAATGCTATTTACATGTATATATAGAGTTGCCAATCTACTTTTATGTGTACTAGTGTTTCATATTAATAAAGAACTCCAAGCTTGAGCAGAAGAACTCATTTACTGTAATACCAAAGCCAATGAATTGCCAATATATAGATTTGAATCTAAAGATGCAAGAACAACAATAAAGGAGAAAGAAAATACCAACAATCACAAAAGGGAAGCTATTTTTTTAAGAAAAAATGGATGACAAGTTATTGGCAACAATTACACAAAGCACAAAGATATAACAAATAAATTAACGACAACAACAATCATACAAAGCCTAACGAGTATACCTAACAAATCACTAGAGCTTTCTAATTAATAAGAAAAAACACCAAAACTTAAAAGCAGCAATGATCATATAAAAAAATAGTCTTAAAAAGTCCACCAATCAACCAACCAATTGACAATAAAGAAAAAGTATTTAATTAGCAGGGTATTTCTTTCTTTTTTTGCCAAAAAAAAAAATACCTTTGAGCACAACAGATAGCCCCTTCTCCTCCTCCTCCAAAAGTTTATCAGCCTCACTCAACTCTGGCTCCATTTCGACTCCATCTTTCTCTGAAATTCCCTCCATGCCCTTGCCCTCTTCCCCTTCGTCAAAGCTCCATGGCTCGAAACCCTCTGCTGTTTCCCATTCATCATCTTTTCCCTTTGATCCAAACTCTTTGTCGACTTCTTTGAATATATCTTCTTCGACTCCTGAAACTGACCATTTGTCTTCTTCATCGCTTTCTCTCTCTAGACCCTCACCTTTTTCTCTCTCTATTCCACCATGAATTCCTCTCTCCTCTTCACCCCCGAAACCTGCAAGATCATTAAGCCCATCTTTTTCCACCCCAGAAATCAACCATTTTTCACCTTCATCACTTTCTCTCTCTAGCACCCCCTGACTTTCTCTATGTAGTCCAATAGATATTTCTCTCTCCTCCTCCTCGCCACCAAGGCCTGCAAGGCCCTTGAACCCTGCATTGTCATCCTTCTCATTGAAAATATCCCATTTTTCACTACCATTTTCTGGTGAAAAGCTCCACCGGTTTATGGTGTTTCTCTTCTCGCCTTCTTCGTTTTCAGTGTCTGATCCATTGCTTCCATTGGTTGAGAATAGCTTCGCAAGGTTGGGTACAGGAGATTGATAGACTTTGTGGTGGGAGATTACATGTCGGGGGGGGAAGCTAGGTTTTGGTGTCGCAGATATTAGGGTTAGAAGATGGAGAACATTTGGTCTGAGGATGCAGCGTGAGAACATTATGAGAGTTTGAAGAGGAACATAGTTGCAGAAGAGGGAGAGAGGTGAGAGTTTAGAGAGAGCAAAGTAAGGATTTTAGGAGCGGGTGCCTGAAGAGAAGCACGGAATCATGAGATAGGGGGTAGAAAGGCGGTGCACTGCAATGGATCATGAGATAGAGGGGGTAGTAAGGCGTTGCACTTCAGTAAGAGAGAGAAACTGCAAATTAGTGAGAGAGATGATCAATGGGTTTTTCAACATTAAAACGACCTTTTTCCGATCGATTTTTGAAGGGGCATCCGTAGGTCTACATTATAAGGTAGCATCCTTGTATATAAACTTTTTCCATTTTTGAGTTCTTCGAAAAATCGAACGACTGTGCATGTGCTCCGAAGCGGTTCAACTGATCTCATCGGTTCGAACCAATTGTTTACAAAACGGATCGGTGACTTGGATCGGGCATCCAAAAAACCGATTCGGATCGACGAATCGGCAATTCGGATCGAGAATCGGGTGAATCGGTCATAATAAAGCTTAAAAAAAATCCGAAAAAATTATTAAAATTCATTATAAATATTGTTTTTTAGGAATTCAATAAGAAATGAGGGTACTCCATTAAGAATTTTCATGTTTTTGAATGAATATGCGAATATTGATATGTTCTTTCCCTGCATGAGCCGCCATTCAGCATTTAATTTACATCACACAAAA